GGCAGATATGGGCGATATGTTGCATACCCCAGACGTCCATCTCGGCGCAGCAGGCACCGTAGGGACCGACGCCAGCGTTAGCATCATTGGACGAAGGGACCCAGCCCTCGATGTTGGCCTTGCCGCCGACGAACTTGAGATCACGGGCGCACTGGGCGTCGCAGTATCCAGTACCGTACTTGGCACCAGCCTTGTTGGTAGGGTACTTGGCCATGCCGCCGTCTGCGTCCATCTATTGAAAGGTAAGTAACTGACAGGGAAGCCTTTTCATTGTTGGGGTTATCCCCGAAGATATTTGACTTACTTGCACAAAGTAGAGGGCACCGTTCAGACCACAATCAACCTGGGATAGGTCGACGTCGAAGGCCAACTCGTTACCTATTGAAAGATTAGTAGCTGACACGAAGGTCTCTTCATTAACCAGACCAACCTGTCAAAGTGAACATCTCGTAGGCCGAGGCTGAGTTCATGAGATAATGACGAGAGCCAATGTTCTTGCCGTAGGCGTGTTGCGTAACGAACTTCAAGCTGAGAGCGTTGCCAGAGGTGGTGACGCCGTATGTGGCTGCGTAGTCAGCGCCCTCAAGAGAGCACTTAGAGGCACAGTCCGTTGCGGAACTGCAAGCACTAGTCCACTTGTTGCCATCGTAGCAGTTGGTGCCAGAGGCATCGTGAAGCCATCTCCAGTTGTGGTCGATGACGACCTCGCCGTTGACGTTGGTGCAGCTGGAGGCGGTGCACTTCTGCCAGGTCAACTTCGGGTGAGTCTCAGTCTGCAGAGTACCTGCCTGCTGAGCAGACACGGCGCCGATGGCAGCAAGAAGAACGGAGAGAGAAAGCATCTTGAGATGAGATGTCAATAGCTGAGGATGTTCTGGCTGGTGAAGAAGCTCATGAGTTTCACGACATCTTGCGTGACCTTGACAGACTTCTTATAGTTCTTCTTGGAAATTCTCGGGAAGTATATCTTGATGAATACTCTCCCAAGGAGTCCCAAGTTCCGTTCGCAGTGTTGACCAAGACCTCAGTACCAAGCAAGGGATCGCCGGGAAGCGCACCGAACATCCCTTTCATCCCATGGCCGGTGGGATCTTCCATGCCTACTACGGAGGCATTCATCCGTTGAGCAGTAAACAGCATCGATCCGACTTAGGTAGATAGGCATCCAACAGTCTTTGACAGAATGTCGGGCGAAACTTTCTACTTACCCCTGAAGGCTGCGGGAACCGGAGTTTCCCCAATCGACCGGCAAAACGTTCCATCAATCGTTCGATGCAATATAAATTGCAATCAATCCTCACATTGGCATAGGTGCGGGGGAAGCGAGGCGTGTCTTCGAGCCCAAGAACGCGGAGTGTACGGTACTAGACGGAATCGGGTCCCGGCATCGTATTACACACGACCTCTAGGTGTGCTACTTTTCCTTCTTGGTTCGTGATCTCAATAAGGCGTCTCCTTCCCTTCTAGTCCTAATGTCTTCTAATAACGTATAGGTACTCCATTGAAGTTCAATGTGAATATTGCTGGTTCGACGACAAGGTCAACTTACGATATAATCTTCTCGTAGTTGCATTCAAGACCTCATACTTGTCAAAGCCAATGATGCCAATACGCAATAAGCACTCGTTGCCAAGACTCTTGGTAGGCTTGCCTGTCTTGGAGCTTCTTCTTGCTGGGGATAGTCGCAGAGATGAGGTCTAGATCGTCTTGGGCCTGCCGGCGTCTACGAATAACGTCTTGGGCGACCAAGACGTCCGAGAAGGTATTTCGGAAGAAGTCTTGCGGATGATACGGGGGTCGGGTGGGTGATGGCTGCTTGTCTTAAGGAAGTGGACTGTAAGCAACCCGACTGTAAGCAACCCGGCCTAGGAGTTCATCCTTATTTTCTGAGCTCCTTTTAAGAGATCCCTTGGCCCACGCCCTCCAACTAAATACTACAATAAGAAGCTATTACCAGCGTCACAAATCGATCGATAAGATGAAAAAAAAAAAGTGTTCTGATGAATCTCTGCAATTCTCCAACCTTCAGCCCTCCCACAGAGTGAGACCTGGTCATGATTCCGTCGCCAACCCACCGCTGCCAACTTTCGTGTGCCTACCTCACACAGTAGATATGGTATCGGCTCAAGGGTAAGACCCGGCTTTGATTTCCATAAGGAGCGCTGTTTATGTTGTCATGTGGGTTGAAGCACTTGCCATACTTGGACCGGGATGGTACCCTGGTCTGGGGTAATTCTCCTGAAAGTCCGGCATTTATATTAGCCCCAACAGGGGTTGGAGGCATGCATAAATCATTCCACCACACACGATCCAAAATGAGCGACGAAAGAAGCGCTACCGACCAGTCATGCGGTGGCAGTCGAGGAGGGGTAAACGGGATGCGATTATAGGATAAATGTCTTTGACCCAACCTCAATTACTTTCCCATGGGAGTTTAATATTGCTCTTGCCCCAGTGGTCCAACTATGGTGTGAGAAGGGAGTGTTGCTTGGATGCGACTTGCCAGTATCGGACTGGTCGCTGGTCGATGTACGGCAAACATTCTGTTTTCCAAAGTGAGCAGCACCCAAAAGACGCCTTTGATGAGACTTTCGTGAAAAGAAATCGGAATATCCCACCCCGTTGTTACATTCGATGACCCTAGCGAGTTTCATGAAAACAATTGAGGCGACTGGAGATGGTTTATGGGACACCTTCAGTGGAGGAGCGGCGAGCTTATGTTGAGCGATTGTGTGCCCAGTCTCGGATTTCGAGTTCCATGAAAGGCACCGATTTCTCAAGCTCTGCCACGGCATGTCTCTGCGGGTCTAGAATCTGCTTTGAGTGGCAATCATCTGTAGATGCAGTCTTCAAGTGGAGCTCTTCAATTCATCATCACTGTCGCTGAAGAAGAGCTCTCTGTGTATCAAAGGGTTTTCTCGCCTGTTGGGCTAACTTTCAAGACTTGATTGCGCCAGAAAGGTCTTGAGCAGCAATACAAAATATCAGAAGCAGAGTGGGAAAGCACCGTTACTGAGGATATTTGCTTATGCATATGTCACATTTCTTTTAACTAAGGTCGTTCATGTTGTGATCCAGGTAGATAATGTCGTGCTTTTGTTGTTAACTCTGTCATTATTGACCGTGTCTTACCTAATATCTGAACACTTTCGCTAATATCTTCTTTCTTAAAAAGCAGTCTTTTACACTTTAGAGATGGAAGAACGGACTCCTTATCAGTTGCAATGAAAAAAGTCACTGGTCATCGAGTCTTGTAAGAATCTCAATGAGCGATTTGAGGATGAGAGCAAGACATCATTGAGCCTATCAATACACAGATGTCAATATGGAAATATGCACCCAGCCTCGAGCTGGCTCAACATTTCGCTCGTTGAACTAGTTAGGTACATCAGGAAACACAAGGTTTCTCCGCCCAACAATTTTGCTATATGTTCCTATTCCACTATTTCCTCGGGGTTTGTGTTGAGCGTTATCGGTCTCATTCATAGTTCCTCAAGCTTGTTCTTTACCTACCATGTTTCGTCAATAGTATATTGTCACGAAACAGGAACGGTATCAGCACTCAACGACCACTCTATCACGTGCTACTTCACGTATATCTCACATTTGTTCAGTATTTAGACTGTTCTCTTTCCTTCCTTCTAGATAGGTTGATTCAAGCCACTTTAAACACACTTCACATGCCCATTGCTGCGTGCCATAACTCGTGACATATATCCTTTAAGTACCTATAGATATCACAGACCAGAACGGTAATTATAAGCAGAGTATCGTGGAAGATAGCAATGGTGGCAAAGCTAAAGAGGAGGCGAGTGGTGACAATGTCGAGTGGAATAGGTATGGGTTAATTTATGTTGCTCTATCTACTTCCTTATCAACTTGAATGTTTGGAAGAGTCAGCTCATGTCCACTGACTACCTATATTCTTGGGAAATAGACACTAGACTCTGGTAGTAAGAAAAGTCTTTCTACAGCATGAGAATAATCTCGGGATTTCGGCTTGGGATGCACCTTCCTCTTTCTCTAGACCTCCGGGTTCCCAGGATGAGAGTGGAGCATCAAGAGCGCCACGCTAGTCCTGTTTTGAACGGCAGAATTTGCGCCGTGTGAAGATTCTCGCTTAATTGAGGACCCACCTACCTCTCACGTGCATTTTCGCACAACCCCTGGCGGATTATTACTGTGCGAAAAAGAACGCTCCACTTGCTTCCATGTCCCCCCGTCAGCTCACCGCCCTGGACCGTCGACTCGGCGCAACACCAGAACCTCCGCACACCCACTTTGGACGCGCACACAGGACAGGCCGTCCCGAATCGCAGCCGGAGCTTCTCCGACAATCAGCCATTCCCACTCAGCACCGCCCATCGCATTAGGAGGGATAAGACCAAGGGGGCCTTCGCCTGGCCCTGCTCTTGTCTTTTTTCGAGATGTCATCGTCGTTGGCCGATCAGGAACCTCAGCCAGAGGACCAGCAGCAGCCGGCGGAGCATCAGCCCGACCCTCAATCCGATCCCCCTGCATCGCCAACTGCCTCTCAGCAAGCAACAGCCCACGCCTACGCCAGCAATGGACTCCAGGTCCTCCAAGCTGCTTCAGATGCTGCAGCTGCAGCGGCTATCCAGAATGTCCAGCATCATCTGAGTACGGTTGCAGCCGCCGCCGCCGCGGCGGATGAGCAGCAAGTACAGCAACAACACCAACAACAACACGAGCCTCAGCCTGTTGAGGAACAGCAGCAACAGCAGCAAGACCAGCTGGCGATGTCCTCGGCTGCCGAACAAGACCAAGTCCAGCATCACCAGCAACACCAGCCGCCGCTGCCCCCTCCTCCACACACCCCATCCCAAGCGCCGCCTCACCAACTTCCGCCGCAGGCTTCGCATGGCTCGACAGTCACAGGCGCTCCGCCCGCATCTCCGCTGGCCACCGATGGCTCTCTCGGTGCCGTGTCACAGAGCGCCATGTCTGCTTTCCCTCACGCCTTCGCCCCGATGCCGCCGATGCCACGAGACCCGACGGTTAACCCTAAGCTGACCCGCCTTCGACGCGCCTGCGACATGTGCTCCCAACGCAAGGTCAAGTGCGACGAGTCTGGCCCGCCGTGTAGGCCATGCTCCGAACTCAACGTCGAATGCACCTTCAACCGAGAGCTGAAGAGACGAGGACCCCCGAACAAGCATGCCGAGGCTGCCAGGGCCGCTCGAAGGCAGAGAATCGAGCCTGGCATGGCCGGCTCGCCCACCACGGCCGCCTTCACCTCATATGGCGCTGCTGTTACACCCTCGCCTTCGCCGCACAATGCTGCGCAGGCTCTGGTTTCGATCGCAGAGGGACCGGGTCGTTTGGATGCAGAGGCCATCGCGCCCTTACCCATTCTCGAGCTCTTGATCGACGACTTCTTCACCTACATCCACCCGCTCGCCCCCTTCCCGCACGAACCGACGTTCAGACACTCCTTTGCAAACAGAGAGGATAGAACGAACCCCGAGTTTCTCGGTTTGCTGTCCTCCATGATCGCCTCTCTGGTGTCTTCCTTTCCCCGGAGTGCCAGGCAGCACCTCAAGACCCAGCACAGCACCCACCTCTTTCCGAGGGCGATAGTCATGATTGAGAGGTGTCGAGATATCGCCCTCGATACGCGGGGTTCTCGATGGGCACTGAAGCAGAAGACGTTGGATGATGCCGCTACCAGCTACTTTCTTGGGCTCGCGGCGGGCTACACTTTCCAAGTACCTCGCTTCCGCTACTTCATGTCCGAGTGTCTGTCACTCATTCGGGAGCTTGGCTTCCACCGGCCCAAGCATCCCAATGAGCTTCCCACCTTTGGCAACGACAACTGCTCGCCGGATCCCCTACCTTTCCACCACATCAAGGATCAGATCGGCAAGCGCATTTTTTGGTGCCTGCTGCTCGGCGTCAGGTAAGTTCCCTATCTTCTATCATGCAGTCCACGTGCATATCTACTTACACACACATCAAAGGTCCTTCTCACAACTAGGCGCCTCTCATGCCGACTTGGTCATCGCCCCGTCGACCCCCGGACTGCCATACCCTGCCCTGCCCGAGAACGTCGATGATCTCTACATCATGGCCAACGAAATCGTGTATCCTCCCGAAAGCTCTGTCACTCTGCTTACTGGTTTCCGGTTTGCCGTCGACATCTACACAACCATGAACGCCATTGTCAGCGTTGAGCTCGTTTACGGTATGAGCACTCTTCCCTGGTCTGATCAGAGGTCTCTTCTTAGAGACGCTCTCATTGCCGCCAAGGACATCATCGACCGGCTTCCGCCTGAACTTCAGCTCAGTGCTTCTCATGAGCAGTCCAGCGGGTTCGGTACCCTTGAAGATGCCGAGCTCCAATACGTGCCTCCCGCGTACCCTAGCAGCCAGCCTCCTAATGATGTCCGAAACGTGATCAAGAATCACCCCCAACGCCGGCGGCAGCTTCAGTACGAGATTCAAAAGGCTAACATCTACATTTCCCAACTGGCTACGCGTTCGTTCTATGTCGAGTTGTACTTCAACTTGCGCGACGTCCACATGTCCGACCCCAACAAAGAAGAGCAAGTTGGGGACAACGCCGAGGAACATGCTGCCAAGGGAGCCGAGGATGCGGAGGCAGCCCGCGTCTTTGAGCTGATGACGGCAGAGCGGGAGCTAATCGTGCAAAATCTTCTTCACGTGCTGGGCTCCATCTCACAGCGCAACCTCGAACCAAACGGCGGTTCGCTCATCAACAAAGTTCGACAGGTCGCTTCGACTCTCCTCAATGACGCCCCGGAGCGGAAAGGCCCGGTGGCTATGAAGTCGGAGGAGGCGCTCGTGAAGCTCATCGATGTCCTCCTCAAGCTTGAAGGAACAGGGCCAAGTGGTAGCAACATGGCTGGAGAGAACATGACACCGCAGGATGAGGAAGAGGAGATGCGAAACTGGGCTCATTTGCGTGATTACCAACAGCGCTTTGCTGCTCATGGTGGGTTTGCTGGAAATATTTGATGAGTAGCCACTTTCGCGAACGGTAATGGCATCAAATAGGGATGTCTCGATGTTTTCAAGTATAGGGATTCTCAATCTGGGAGCAACGAGATGGGTAAAAATTACCCTCGTCTATAAAATGGCTTCAAAGGCGAGGCAGACAGAAAAGTAGTCCTGAGGGAGTGGTACAGGAAATCGGTTAATAATGATACCAGATCATTCTCATCACACCATCATCCGTCTATAAGAGAGAGAGCTATTTCATCCCTTGACACGCTGCAAGCTGGGATGGATACTTGTATTTGTAGTGAGGGGGAGATGGGATGCAAGACAATCCAATTAAAGGAATTGTTATTGCAGACAGAAGGTGCAACCTGCAGGAGGCCTGCCATCCGGGCAAAAGGCACCTTGGACCCCCCATGAACCTTGCAGATGGAGGCCTAAAGATGAAGCTTTTGCCAGTGAAATCATCCCATCGCGGAAATAGGCATCTAGAGAAAGCTCCCGCCAAAGTCTTGGTACTTGCCTTACCTGGGAAGAGCGCAGCTTCGCACCTACCAAAATCCTGACCTTCAACCTCCCTCTGACCTTGCACCCATCACAATATTTCTCCAAGAACACAACCTTCAAAGTCCTGAAAATCAATTCTATTGCAGTACTTATCACAATGTCTCTTCGTCAGAATCTTATCAAGCCCATGGTGGTTGATGCCACCGACAGCCACGACCACACCCACACCGTCGTCTTTCTCCATCGCTTCCCCGAGACTACCTCTGAGGAGGAGCTTCGTCGAAAAGTCCTTTCCGAGAAGTTGACGATGAACCACAAGACCCTCCGCGAGCAGTTTCCCTCAGTCCGCTGGGTCTTCCCCTACGCCAAAGCCCATGCGCGTCCCTGGAATAACCTTACGCCCGAAGATAGAGCGGCAGTCGGGATGAACATCGGCAGTCTTCCTTACATCGCCCAAATCATGCTTCAGGAAGCAGACAACGTTGGCGGTCTCGACCGCATCATCCTCGGTGGAATGGGACAGACTGCCGAGGCAGCTCACGACGCCATAACGTTTTTTCCCGAGTGTAAGATGGACGCCTACGACAATGCCGACGAGATGTCGTCGTTCCTTCGAAAGACCTTCCACGCCAACTGCACGAGTATCGATCAGCTCAAGCTGGCTGGTTTCGTGGGTATGCACGCCCAGGATGCCGAGATGACGTCCGACGTCAGAAGCATGGCCGTCATGTCCAAGGAACTATCCACAATGAAAAAGAAGATCAACGCTACCCTCGTCGCGCAGACCCCTCACAAGTTCATCAACGGCAGCTACAAGATTCAGACCAAAACTTGGGACGGCAGCCGCATCGACGATTTCGCCACCTTTCTCGAGGCCATTGGCGTGGGCCGCGGTCTCGATACCAAGAAGACAAACACCGAGACGCTCATTCCCAAGAACCGAGAACCGACCAAGAAGTGGGATCCCCGGGATACCCTCGGCGACGCCCAGAGATACGCCCAAGAGATCCTGGAGCAGAAGAAGGAGAATGAGGAGATTAAAGCGGAAGCTGCTTATTCGCATCGAGGCGGATAAGGTTGAGCGCAAGATCAAGGACGCGCGCGAGAAGGCGAACCGAGGCAATGTCAACAGTAAGAATAAGTGGTTGAAGCCGGCGGACTCTGTCAATGTTCTCGGCGGTGTTGGGTACCGCTCCAACCTCCCTCGTGAAGAGGATGAGGACGAGGTACGAAATCTTTAATCTCGCAAGTTGAAGTAAGCTAACACAGAGCACTCCAGCGATACGTGAACCAGCAGCGACGCTTTTAGCCTCATCCAAAAAGTCGACCCCATCAATCCCCAAAAAATATATCAGAGCGAACTTGTCTCCATAATCAATAGACAGTATATTTCATCCGGTTGTCCAATCCTTCAGTCTGATACCTCATGTCCGTTGCGCAACGTGATGTGAACCATACATGCTCATCCTTGATGCTCTCTCACAATCAATGGCCATCTCTGCTTCTCCCGTGTCTTCACTCGTGTGTTTTCGTAGAATTCTCTAAACAAAGGCTAGAGAGAAGGAGGAGAAGGAGGAAGAAAGACACTGATGATTCCATTGGGTGCATCCAGCTGATCAAAGCAACGCGGCACAAATTATATGAGATCAAAGTTCTCGAAGACATTTCCATAGACTCAAGCAAGGGCTTCTCTCAATCTCTGACACCTTCAATGATATTCTTAACTCCTTCGCCCCTTGCAGTCTTGTCCCAGGCCAGAGTGGCCGTCTCGAAGGGGGTCACACTCGACAGCATGGCTTTAGGCTTCACCTTACCGTCCGCAATGAGCGACAAAGCCAATTCATAATCGCCGGCTGCGTATCGAAAACATCCTCGGACTCTGAGTTCCTTTTCAGACAGAGCCAGCATGGGAACTTCAGGCTTGGCTTTACCCAACCCAGCCTGGACGTAACTCCCACCGCTCTTTAGCAGAAAGATCCCGGTCTGGATTGACGACTGTGCTCCCGATGCCTCAATGACAGCGTCCACCCCGTCGGCGATACCCATCGTCCCGAGAAGCTTCGCAGCAACATCTTCACCCGTTGTCCCAGGCTCCACCAAGAATGTCTGACAGTCGAGGAACGTATTCGCAAAGTCAAGCTTTGCCTGGATGATATCAACCAAGATGACGCGTCGAGCGCCAAAGGCCTTGGCCACAGCTGCGCAGAGCAACCCAATCGTCCCACACCCAGTCACTACGACATCTTGTCCGTACTTGATCTCTGCCAGACGTGCCGCGTGGACGGCAACGGCGGTGGGTTCCACGAGGACCGCCTCCTGGAGGCTCACCTCGTCAGGAACCTTGTAAACAAAGTCCTCCGGCATGATGAGATACTTTGTCAAGGCGCCGTGGGAGTCCGGAGGGTCAGCGAAAAACCTCATCGAGACGCATAGATTGTATTCTCCTCTCTTACAGGCTGGGCAGCGCCGGCAGGGAACCCCTGGCTCGATTGCTACGTTGTCGCCTACTTTGACGTTGGTCACGGCGGGACCGACTGCGTCGATGGTACCGGAGGCTTCATGACCCATGACAATGGGCTTCTCGTTGCTGACTTTGCGCTGGAACCCTCCCTCTTTCCAGAAGTGAACCTGGAACAGATCGATCAACATCAAGTCCAATGGTCTGAACGGATGGAGGAAATACATCACTCCCGCATACTCCGACATAATGGACCCTGATAATCACTTGGTCTTCGTTCTTAAGAATTGGAGTAGGACGGTCCACGATCTTGGCTGAACCTGGGCCGTACAGAAACCAGGACGGGTTTTGCATCCCCGCTGTCGCCATGTTGAGACCAGATGTATATGTCGTCGTGAGATTATATGATGGTCAAGAGGATGGAACTGACCATGGGTCTGTGAGTTTGACGATGTTTCTTCTCAATTTCGTTGAGATAATTGATGATTTATATCGAAAAGCTGTGTTCTTCAATCTGAATTACGCCCACGTACTGGAGGTATGAGAGGCGTTTCTCCTCATTTCAAGTACTTCAGTGCCATCGGACGACACTCGTCCGACGCAGCCTCCATCCAGTGACGTATTGGCTTGCCATTGAGATGGATGATCGGACGTGAAGAGCACATCTCATCTCACATCACGAATCTAGCTTCATTCGGTCTTTGGATCATCGACCTTATTTTGTTCCATAGAGGCGAAATCAATTGCCTATCTCGGAACATCGACACGGTCCTTCTAAAAAAAGAAAATTGAGTTATTGACAGAATAAGAATAAAACGAGGGTATCAGCGAGACCGAGTGACCCCTCACGCCCCAACGGGTCGTGTCGCGCCATCATGCAGCGAGCCACTTTGGTGCTTCCAACAGCTACAGCTAACATTTACGAGTGGATTTGGAGTTGGGTCATGTTAGGGCTGTCGGGAAGGGGTAGCTGTTATCTGACACGATCCATTGGATTCTTGATGGCTTCTCGATGTTATTGGTCGTGATCGATGCCTTGGACGTGTCCATCGACTGACATGATGCAGGCGACAGCGGGCCGAGTCTTTTCACTTTCGGCAATCAGATTCCAGGATCCTGCATGAAGCTGTGAACTTTGCAGCCGATCGTCAAAGCTATTCCGGTGCGGACTAATGTCGTCCGATCGTGGTCGGCTCCCATTTAAAATGCAACATCGTCATCCAAGTTTGCCGTGGTATTCGTACCGGTATAGACGACAAATACCCTGGTAACTCAAGGACAGAGATAGACCCATCATGGCCAAGAACGACTACATCATCAAACTCCCCACCCTCAGGGAACCTACGTCAAAAACACCCGAAATTGCACGAGAAATCATCAAGACTTGGATACAGGCGTTTGAGAAAGTGCTCGCCAACAACGTAGAAGACGGTCTATCGACCGTTTTCCGCAAAGATGCTTGGATCAGAGACTTTCTTGGTCTCTCATGGGACTTTAGAACCATCAACGGCCTGGACGAGATCACGGCATTCTTCAAGGAAAACCAACCTCGGGCAGGTCTCCGCCACATTGTCCCCCGCGAAAAAGGCGCTTTCCAGCCGTCTTTTGGGGACCCTGCGCCTGGCGTTCACTGGGTGGAGAGCATGTTTGACTTTGAGTCCAACGTTGGCCGCGGCAAGGGTATGGTGAGACTGGCGTTGGAGGCGGACGACACCTGGAAAGCCTTCATGATCAACTTTACTCTCTTGGAATTGAAGGGGTTCGAAGAAAAGGTGGGAGTCAGCAGGCCTACTGGTCATGTAGACCCCAAGGGGGGCAATTGGAAAGAGAGACGCGAACGACAGGTAGAATTCGTCGATGAAGACCCTACCGTATTGATCATTGGCGCTGGTGAGTTGCATATCCTCGATGCCGGTGGTCATGAGTTGCTGACTTATGTCTTGTTAGGTCATGCTGGGCTAAACATTGGCGTTCGTCTACGAAATCTCGGTCTCCCGACTTTGCTGATAGATCGCAATGAGCACGTCGGGGACAGCTGGCGCAAGCGATACAGGGTCAGTCTTTCTGGTGTCTTCATCATAACCCCAGGTCTGTGATGAAACGAAAGTTGACCTGAATACTCATCTCACATGCAGACTCTCATGACCCATGATCCGATTCAGTACTGTCATCTCCCATTCATCCCATTCCCCGGGAGCTGGCCCCAGTTTATGCCCAAGGACAAACTGGCAGATTGGCTAGAGTCTTACGCAAAAATGATGGAGCTCAACATCTGGACCAGCACCAACATCGAGGAGACAAGCTACAACGAGAAGGAAAAGAAATGGACCGTCAAGCTTCGACGGGCAGATGGCACCCTCCGCACCCTCAAGCCTCGTCACATCGTTCTGGCGACAGGCCAAGCCGGTGATCCCATCACGCCCACATTCCCCGGACAAGACGACTTCAAGGGTGTAGTGTACCACGGCAGCCAGCACCAAGACGCCTCCCTCGTCGACAATCTCTCCAGCAAGAAGGTCCTCGTCGTGGGCTCAGGCAACTCAAGTCACGACATCTGCCAGAACTTTTACGAAAACGGCGCAGCGCAAGTGACGATGATTCAAAGGGGCGGCACTTATGTCATTACAGCGAATAAGGGAATCTTTGTGATGCACAAGGGAATGTACGAGGAAGGCGGCCCCCCAACCGAAGACTGTGACATCGTTGCGCAGAGCATCCCGATCCCTGTCCAATTCGCGCTGAGTACACACGGTATCAGGGCCATCACTGCAGTCGACCAGGACCTGTTGGACGGTCTGAGCAAGGCGGGCTTCAAGCTTGACTTTGGGCCGGATGGAAGCGGTATCTACCGCAAGTACATCACTCGAGGCGGAGGATATTACATTGACGTCGGTTGCAGCCAGCTGATTGTCGACGGGAAGGTCAAGGTTCATCATAGTCCTGGAGGTATCACGGCCTTCACACCCACTGGTCTGAAGTTGGCGGATGGTACGACTTTGGATGCCGACATTGTTGTGCTGGCGACGGGATACGATGGTATGAGGTCTAGCACACGCAATATCCTAGGGGACAAGGTGGCCGATCGAGTCAATGAATGTTGGGATCTTGATGAGCAAGGCGAGATCAACTCTGTGAGTTCCCCCATATTGAGCACAAATTTGTGGGACAGGCGACTAACCTCGAACAGATCTGGAGAAGCAGCGGTCATCCACGGTTCTACTACATGGGTGGGAATCTCGCCCTGTGTCGCTCTTATTCGCGGCTCTTGGCACTACAGATCAAGGCAGTGGAAGAGAATATTTTGGTTTATCCCCAACGCCAAAGCCCATGCGCGTCCATGGAATAACTTTACGCCCGAAGATAGAGCGGTAGTCGGGACAAAAGTAGGCGACAGCATAGCAGTTTAACCAGGTGTTCCGTGCCGCCGCTGTGATCAGTGCAAGAGAGCAAAATTAGGAGAGGAGCACAACGAGTGCTCAAATCTTGGCCTTCGATTGACTTCTTCTGGGCTGAAAAGGTAAAATACAATTTATGACCGTTCAGCCTGCCATTTCAACGTCGTTGCCCGCATAGTCCGCCGACAGGGCCGCATTGCACGCGTCGGTAGCACCATCATCCTCGCCGTCCCCTTCTCATAACCCATAATGGGATCATGAATAACTTGCTACACTTTCTAAAGCGTATTCTCCCAGGAATATGTAGAATACAGAGAGTAGGAGCGGTAACGATAGTGTCAAAAATAGCAGCGGCAGCAGCAGCAGCAGTAGTGATAGTCGGAACAGAACTGAGGTATTGGGCGGCGAAACACTGCATTGTGTCACCCACATGGCTTACTGAACTCGCTTGAAACATGACATGCCATCCTTCATGCCGAGTCTGCGTACTCCCAGATGTGCTTCTCTATAAAGTCCAGGGCTTTCATATCCTCGTTCTCCTTCTTGATCTCCAACACCCGCTTCTTGTACTTGTCGTTAGCAAGCACCTCCTCTACTCCTTCTGCAACTTGTTGCGACGTCGGGCGACCAGTCTTGAGATTAACAGCTACACCCGTCCATTGCCCACGCATAGCGATCTCCGGCTTGTCTTCTGTATCGCCTCCGAGCACCATAGGTACCCCATTCACTATCCCGTGCAGGAAGCCTCCATAGCCAGCATTTAGGACCCAGACATCTGCGTGTTTGAGTAGGGCGTCGTACGAGAGGAAGTCGATGACCTTGGTATTGGCCGGAATCGTGAGCTCCTCGGGAAGTGTCGCGCCCTTGACACCCAAGATGGCAACGAGAATGATATCGTCACGGTGAGCCAGACCTTGTATCGTGGGGATGATGAGATCCGTGTAATCGATAGCGATGGTACCCTGAGCAACTCCCACAACCTTCTTATTTCCGGCCGTGATTTCACCCCACCATTCTGGGTACTTGTAGTTCGGGTCGATGGGCTTGGGCGGCAAACATCCCGCGTACTTGATGGCGTCGGGGAGATCCGATCTGGGGTACTCGAGGCTGGGCGAGCACATTTGCAGGGTAACGTCGTAACTAGTTTGCCATGATTCGAACAAGGCTGGCGGCAGCTCGCGCGTACCGCCGAGCGCCTTGACAACGTCGTTGTACTCCTTTGCTGCCGCACCAAAGGGGCCCATTGGGCTGAAGAACATTTCATTGAGGAGCTTGTTCCGCCCGCGGCCGGATTCGGTCGAGTCGGGAGGCAGACCAGGTCCGAACGGCGCGGTATCAATGCTCGTGGTCACGATGGGGATAATGTTGATGTCGACGACGGGCGGTCTCGTGGTGTAGCCCTTGGGTAGAGGCGTGCCGTACATCATAGGGGCAAGACCCATGTAGAACGTCTCGTGGACAATAACGACTTGCTTGTCGGGATGCTCGACACGGATCTTCTCGAGGGTTTCCATCACGACATGGAAGTGAGGCGTCACAGCCCTAATGAAGACATTGCTTAGGTCGAACATGAGGCGGGGTATGCCAACAGGAACTTTTTCGCGAATGGCTTGCTGCTCGGGGTTCAACATGGGCGGAATGCTAACATGCTGGGCACCGATGCGCTTGACTTGAGGGTGGAATTCTTCGCCGGCGATGAATGTGCCTTCGAAGCCGCGTTGAATCATCTCATCAGCGACCTGGAGGAGGGGATATGTGTGTCCTGTTGCTGGCGCCGCGCAGAAGAGAAGGTAAGGACGCTTCTTGTTGCCGTCGCTGACACCATTGTTGGCCGCTGCTTCGGTAGCCTGAGCTACAGAGTCCGCTGACAGTGTCATGATCGCAGATACTGTGTCTCTTTCAAGAGATCCTCGGTGTGAGTAAATAGATACTCGAATCGTTACTTCAAATGCAGAGTGAAGGACGGCATCAAGATCAGCGGCAGCACCCAGTGATTTATACATGTATGAATAAGAGAATCCCTAGTGAAAACGCAGTACGCGGGGAGCTTCAACTCGATGCGATAACTCATCTCGGTGAGATTTCCACCCGTACGCGCGCCGTTGGGTCGAATAGTCGCCGGCTTCATTGCGTTCAAGGCTGCATCGGGCCGCATTGCGAAAGGGAAATCTGACAGCAGATTTTAGTACGTCAAACGGTCCTGTCCTGCCTGTCTCTAAGCCTCAAGCTTGTTGTATGGAGCCATCAAAGAGCCAGTCAGAATGCACTAGTCGTATATCGTACACCAAAGTGCGTAAGGCAGCGAGTCATTATGAGATGCCGTACAACCTCTGTGTCCATGTGAAGAGGAGTCGAACGGGGATGTTGTAAGGCCTTACCGGCGGTATTGAAGCCCATTGGTGTCACACGCTGATTATCGACGGTCCACGTCTCTACAGCGCGTTGAGAAAGGACACTGCAGGATCAGGGTCCTTGCAGATAAGTCTCAGCCCGTCAGCGCGACGTCTGGAACGAACGAGCTAGTGCGGCCGTGGATTGAGGCTAACGGTGCTAGCATCGCGGATGATGTAAGTCGGTGGATTGGCTTCGTTCTGTAGCTTCAGGCTCCCGTCTCGCGGCTATCCGAGTGCCGAGCTTAGAGCCATCGCCGGAAAAGTCCTGAAATGGCAGATCAGCTTCTCTTGAGAATGCTCTTAGCCACCTGAGATCATCGGATGACATGGCCGAAGGGGCATCTGCCATCACCGGTAGGGAGTCTACCAGCATAGAGGGGCCCGGCAGGATAAGTGCTCAAAAAGAAACGTTCATATGTGAGGTGGGGGTTGATGCGCGGTTCGTCTTCAAACCATGAGGGAGGCTTCACGATCGAGATGTATTGACAGTTGTAGGCATAGCACATATCGAAAGACGAAACACTCTGAACAACAGCCTGCTGACTTGTACGCGCTTTTCACGTTTGTCAGCCCTTGCGAAAGCGAGATCTCGAAGAAGAGTACAGTAGAGAAAATGACTAGTAGGAAGATGGCGCCTGCAAGTAAGCTGACGACGCTCTGATAACCTGCCACTTGCGGGAGTCTCATTGGCGCTCTTGGGATTTTGATGGATTATCAATGATCTGGAAGACGATGCGAGCCATGGATGGGGCACTTGCGAGCGAATGACCAAGACCCGTGCGACAAATAGTGACAGTAGTGACCGTTTGATTTGTGTTCGTCTCTTCGTGAGGCTCTATTATCTCGGCCATTCGACCATAAAGGTCTGTAACGTTTCTTCGGCCTCATACGACGCGGATGAAGCGTTCCCTAATGATGAAGAATGAGTTGATGGACGTCGTTGATCAGCATTGCATCGGCGTCGGTAAACAGCAAAAGGCCGCGCGGGGACGACGCTCTCGCGCGCGCGGGATGATGCACAAGCAAGGAACGTTGTATCGTTTAATGGGGCTCGGCCGTTATGTCTCGTCCGCTTGGCTGGACCATTCTCGATATTTGATCGAATGTCTTGGTTCGCGCGCGCGAGACCTGACCAGTCGTTGTTCTCGAAGCCAATGTTCCAATATTTCCATGTCCTTTTAAGATGCCAAACGCCTCAGTCATTTTTGACTGTTATTGTCCCGCCCAAAGATGCAAATGCATGCTGCAGCCGTCCAGTACTACCTGACGCGAGGCCTGGTCAAGCGGCCCCTTTGCCTTTGCGGTCGCCTGTCCGGGCGAACAGATCCTTGAAGCTCCAATGCCTCCTGTCTGAATCGTCTGATGGTCCAGATGAAGGAAATATGGAGAATCGAGAGGATGACGAGCTCGACTTGGCCGAGCCGTAAACTTCGGTCGGTCGTCCTGGCAAAAGAGGAGTCAGGATTGTGTTCAAAAACGCAACGCAGGAGTCCAAAGTGGCATCAAACTTACTAATGTTTCCAGCCCCTCCGATCCCGTATCCTCGAAACTGGCGGTCTCTCACCGCAGTCTCCTTGACATCGTCCTCCTCCGTGTCGCTGCTCGCATCATCCAGGCTCTTCCTCCTCCGCACCGGCGCCACTGTGCTCCCAGCCACGCCCGACTCGAACTTTGCGCTCGCTGGGCCGCCCGACCCGTTGCCGACAACTGGGGATGGCAGCTCCGGGGCCACTGATGGCGTGGGTCGCAAATTCACTGTGGACACGCTGCGCACGACGGCGAGTCGGCCCTGGACGCGGACGCGGTGTCGGCGCTTCTTCGCGGGGATGAGCTGGTCTGACTCCGGATCGGGTTCCCCCGCGTCGTCCTGTGAGTATCGGCGCTGGTTCGAGAAGGGAAGCATCGTGGGAATCTGGTGAAGCGAGTCGATATAGGGGTAAGATCGGCAAAGGGAGGTTTGTCGTAGTTTAAGGTTGCGGTGCGATAACGCAGTGCTTTGGCCAGCGCCGGTCGGGATGGACACGAATAATTAAAGGTCCCCTGGACTGGAGGACTGAAGTAACGCAATTGAAATGTACAAACAAGAATCAAAACAGCGCTTGGGTTCGAATGAATGGACGCAACGAGGTGACAATTCTCGTCGCACAGGAGGCGGGCGTAGCGAGGAACTATTTCATCAACTCGCAGCGCAGCGACAGTATATACACACAACGTTCACAAACAAGTTAGAAGAAGAGAGCAAAGGAACTAGGGCGTCGCATCATGAGCGGTAGAAAGGGGCCCAACGCTCATATGTTCGCCCCCAGACGAACGCTTCAGCCCAGTCCAGCCAACACAAATTCGCCCTAAGCTAAGCACCAACTGCTTTAATGACTACTAGGTAGATAAGAAGACGGCGTGCTTGGGGTTGATTGCGCCGCTTTGCCATAGTCACCATGCTGATTTCCTTCTGTCAAGGCTTCTAGCAATTTAATCTGGGCTCCTTTGCCTTCCCTCGGGTGTTCGGGGGCGGACGAAGCAAAGCAAAAGGTCCCCCCATCCATCCCCCCTCATTAACTCATTAAACCTTGCATTGGCGCGAACCCCTGGCAGAGATGGGGGCTACGCTGCAAAAGAGTCCAAAGCAAGGAATTTTGGGGTGACATCGCCGGGGAACCAACCGGATTTGCACCAGGGCCCGTCTCCCGCCCCGACCAGGTTGCCGGCTGCTTCGGACTCGAAGAATTCGAGGGACTCTGCTTGTTTATTTCTAATCTGTTTCGCTCCTGTTCAGATAATATTTATCTGTATCTCAATCGTTTATGGAAAAATTGGCGTCTGTCGGAGAGAGTTGTGTTCTGTCTCCAATACAAAGGAAGCCCTGAAAGTAGGATCGATCGAACGTTGCACCAACAGCCACAAACAGCTAGGCCCAAGAGTAACCCATAAGAGATTAGTTCTCACCTCACAGCCATAGTCTGTGGAATAGCATTCGATGGCGCCTTGAAGCTCTGTTGATCGCGTCCGGGAGACGGCTATCAAGGAGTGGCCAGGTTCTCTCATCTCAGTTTCCTCTCATCTCAATTTGCATTCTTGTCATGATTACTTGGGTGAACTCTGGTTTGTTGAACAAAGGAAGGTATTATTGATATTACGTATTACATGATTATCAGTCTTGTGTTCGCTTAAGAAACGTCCTGCATCGCGACTTGCGCAGAAGAAACCAGCGAGTTTCTGAACAAAGAAAGGCTAGAGGTGAGATATCCATAGTAGACAATTTCATGGTGTGTTTTTTTGCCGCAACGCCATCAAACATAGGAAACCCCGACAGAAAGAAAGGAAAGAGTGCTGTAGAAGCATTTTTCGGGCTATTTGGCGGCCACATTCACCGTGGCGACGCCAAAGAGGCGCAAGTTCAGACAAGCCACAATGTTCGGGCCCGTCAAGGACAGGTTCAAACAATCCGAGGCGATGCCATTGGACAAGAGGCCGAGCGAAGTCACGCAAGAGATGAGGTTTGGTGCGCTGACAGTCACTGCCACGCCACCGGTCGCGTCGACGCCGAGGTTGACACAGCTCTGCGGTAGCGTCGTGATACACTGCGAAGCCAACGAGTTCTGGATACATTGTGCATACGACTGTGTCTGTGCTCCGAGGAGACTGCCCACCAGGCCGGTAACGCTGCCGAGGGTACAGCCCAAACCGGTAGCCAAGTTTGATACCGTGTTTCCCAAGGCGGTGACGACGAGGCCAGCCTGGCAGAGATTGAGGTTGGCATTGATTTCCGACGTTGATAGTGTGACATCCAGTAGAGCACCGCAAGCTGCCGGAGCGCGGGCGCAAGCTGTGCCAGAAGGACACAATACTGTGCTTGCCAATCCGGCGACCGTTTGACCGACCGGCAATCCGAGAGCTCGTTCGAAACAGTTGAGAACGGCCGCGCCTCCTTGGTTGGTGACGCTGGATATAATGCAGTTGCCTGCTGTCGTGATGGAACCAAAGGCTCCAAGGTTGGCGAAGCATAGAGCGGCGTTGGTCTGGACGTTGGCAAGAGTCTGGCTGGATGCCGCCAAGTTGGCGCAGATTGATGGAAGTCTCGTGAGACAGGTACCCGCCAGAGCAGTCTGGATACATCTGACGTGGTTGAATCCCAGGACATTTCCAAGCAGAGCAATTTGTTGCAAGCTGAGACAGTTGCTGACGGTTCCGATGTTGGCGGTCGCGCCCAAAGCCGCAGTACAAGCATCGAGCGTCGACTGAGAGTATGATTGCAAGATGACACCCGTGAGACTGGCGCAAGCAGAAGGTAAAGTGATTGCGGATCCGGTTGATGGTAGACAAGTCGGGGCTGCGACACCTGTAGGCGTCGGGACACAGCCGGATGGTGCGTATGAGCTGGTGACGACGCGACTTGCTGATGCGAGTGCCGTCTGCTGCAATACCGTGTTGCCAACGGTCGTCGTCCGCGTGCCGGTGAAGGCACCAGTGACTCCCGTAAGGATTGTGGTGTACGACGTGCTTGAGGGGAGGGCGGTCTGCTGAACGACCGTGTTGCCAATGGTGGTGACTTGGGTGCCAGTGAACGTACCAATCACACCGGTGACCACCGTCGTATAAGAAATTGGAGGAATCGCCGTCTGTTGAAGGACCGTGTTGCCTATAGTCGTGACTGCAGTTCCGGTAAAGGTACCCGAGACTCCTGTGAGAATTGTGGTGTACGGCACGGCAGTCTGAGCGAGGACCGTCCGCGTTGCTCCGGAGCCCGCGAGGGTAGTAAGAGAGGTTCCGGCAAACGTGCCCGGAACCCCAGTAGGCACCGTGTTGTAGAAGACCTGCGGCAGAGCCGTCTGGGCGAGGACTGTGTTACCGACAGTAGACAGAGAGGTTCCGGTAAAGGTTCCAGTAACTCCCGTGACGACCGTGGTGTAGGGAATGGCCGTCTGAGCAACGACTGTCTGGGTGGCTCCAGAGCCCGAGAGAGTGACCAAAGACGTTCCGGCAAAGGTGCCCGGCACGCCTGATGGGATGGTCGTGTAGAAGATCTGAGGCAGGGCTGTCTGAGCGAGAACCGTGTTTCCAATCGTAGACAGGGAAGTTCCGGTAAAGGTGCCAGAAACTCCAGTAAGGACTGTCGTATACGGGATGGCGGTCTCTGCCACCACAGTCCGGGTGGCTCCGGTGCCGGGGAGAGTGACCAGTGATGTGCCGGCAAAGGTGCCCGCGACTCCCGAGGCAACTGTGGTATAGAAGATCTGTGGCAAGGCTGTTTGGGCGAGCACCGTGGCCACACTTCCAACGGCAGGAAGCGTAGATAGCTGCGTTCCCGTGAAGGTGCCGGTGACTCCCGTGGGTACTGTGACGTACGAAACCACAGGCAAGGCTGTTTGAGCAAGAACGGTCGCGACGCTTCCGACAGCAGGCAATGTTGACAACTGCGTTCCAGTAAAAGTTCCAGTGACGCCGGTAGGAACAGTGACGTAGGAGACGACGGGCAAGGCTGTTTGGGCCAACACGGTGGCCACACTGCCGACAGCGGGTAGGGTCGAGAACTGGGTTCCAGTAAAGGTGCCAGTGACGCCGGTAGGCACCGTAATATACGATACCACAGGCAAGGCTGTCTGAGCAAGAACAGTGGCCACGCTTCCAACGACTGGCAATGTTGAGAGTTGAGTGCCAGTGAACGTGCCGGTGACTCCCGTGGGCACCGTGACGTAGGACACCACGGGCAAGGCAGTCTGGGCGAGAACTGTCGCAACGCTGCCAACAGCTGGAAGGGTTGAGAACTGCGTGCCGGTGAAGGTGCCCGTGACTCCCGTTGGAACGGTCACATACGAGACAACTGGAAGAGCTGTCTGCGCCAGAACTGTAGCCACGCTTCCAACGGCCGGTAACGTCGACAAACGGGTGCCTGTGAACGTGCCGGTAACGCCAGTCGGCACGGTCGTGTACGAGATAACTGGGAGAGCGGTCTGTGCCAATACGGTGGCCACACTTCCAACGGCTGGCAATGTTGAGAATTGCGTGCCCGTGAAGCTGCCAGTTACTCCTGTTGGGACGGTGACGTAGGAGATGACTGGGAGAGCTGTCTGCGCCAGAACGGTTCCGATAGTTCCAGAGACTGGCAAGGTTGACAATTGGGTACCCGCGAAGGTTCCAGTAACACCAGTGGGAATGGTGAGATACGAGATGGAGGGGAGGGCGGTCTGGGCAAGGACAGTTCCGATGGTGCCGGTGACAGGCAAGGTAGAAAGCTGTGTGCCTGCGAATGTTCCAGTAACACCAGTCGGGATGGTGATATATGAGACCGAAGGAAGAGCAGTCTGAGCCAACACTGTTCCAATGGTGCCGGTGACGGGCAAAGTCGAGAGTTGAGTGCCCGCGAAGGTTCCAGTAACACCAGTTGGGATCGTGATGTACGAGATGACGGGCAATGCGGTCTGCAGAAGCACGGTCGCAACAGATCCTGTGATAGGCAGCGTGGTAGTCTGGGTGCCGGTGAAGGTTCCTGTAACTCCCGTAGGAATCGTGATGTAGGAGATGACCGGGAGGGCCGTCTGAGCGAGGACGGTACCGACGGAGCCGGTAACTGGAAGGGTGCTGAGGCGGGTTCCTGTAAAGGTTCCGGTCGCTCCAGTGGGGATCGTTACGTAGGAAACGGCCGGGATAGCAGTCTCGAGAACAACAGTGCCGATACTCTGGCCGGCTCCCGTTGTGGGAAGAGTGACTGTCTGAGTGCCGGTAAAGCTGCCGACCACGCCACTCGTGACGGTGATATACGAGATGGCTGGGATGGCGGTCTGAAGGACAACAGTAGCAATGCTCTGTCCGGCTCCGGTGGTCGGGAGGGTGACGGTCTGAGTGCCGGTGAAGCTGCCCACGATGCCACTGGTGACGGTGACGTAGGAAATGGGACGAATGGCCGTCTCCAACAACACGGTGCCAACGCTTCCGGTGGCCGGGAGAGTGGTCACCGAGGTGCCAGTGAAGGTTCCAATGACACCAGTAATGATCGTAGTGTAAGAGACAATAACGGAGCTGGGAATGGCTGTCTGAAGGACCACGGTTCCCAGGCCTCCTCCAACAGCCGGCAAGGTGGTTGTCTGAGTGCCGGTGAAGCTGCCGGTGATTCCGCTGGTGACAGTGAGGTATCCAGTGGGCAGGGCGGTCTGAAGCAGGACGGTTCCGAGACCACTGACGGCCGGGATCGTCGACGTCTGGGTGCCGAGGAAGTTGCCCGCGACTCCGGTGAGGAGAGTCGTATACGAGATCGGGATTGCCGTCTGAAGGAGCACCGTACCGATGGTTCCGGTGGCGGGCAAGGTGGTCGCCGAAGTTCCAAGGAAGGTTCCGAAGACGCCAGTGACGATGGTCGTGTAGGACGTGGCTGGTGGTACGGCCGTCTGCAGAACAACAGTGCCAAGGGTTCCAGTGACTGGAAGAGTCGTGGTCTGGGTGCCTGTAAAGGTGCCAACGATGCCGGACAGGATGGTGGTGTATCCAGTGGACAAGACGGGAATGGCGGTCTGCTGGAGAACGGTTCCGATGGTGCCCGTGACGGGGAGTGTAGAGAGCTGGGTGCCGAGGAATGTGGCTCCCAGAACTCCAGTAGGAATGGTGATGTAGGAGGTAACGGGGTTGGGAATAGCAGTCTGTTGCAGAACCGTACCGATAGTCCCAGTAACAGGCAGGGTCGACAATTGGGTTCCGAGGAATGTAGCCCCCAGAACTCCCGTGGGAATCGTGACATAAGACGTGACGGGGTTGGGAATTGCCGTCTGTTGAAGGACGGTGCCAACGGTTCCAGTAACTGGAAGAGTAGAGAGCTGGGTTCCAAGGAACGTGGCTCCCAGAACTCCAGTTGGGATCGTAACATAGGAAGTCACAAGAGGAATGGCGGTTTGTTGAAGAACAGTTCCAATCGTGCCAGTAACAGGCAATGTAGAAAGTTGCGTTCCGAGGAACGTAGCTCCCAGAATTCCGGTCGGGATCGTGATGTACGAAGTGGCAGCTGGCAGAGCCGTCTGTTGCAACACGGTTCCAATCGTTCCAGTAACGGGCAGAGTCGAAAGCTGGATACCCGTGAAGGTGGCTCCCGCGATACCAGTAGGAATCGTAATGTACGAAGTTGCTGCCGGAAGGGCTGTCTGCTGGAGCACGGTGCCGATGGTTCCAGTAACGGGCAGTGTCGTGAGTTGAATACCGGTGAAGGTGCCACCAATGACTCCAGTTGGGATTGTGATGTACGAGGTGGCAGCCGGAAGAGCAGTCTGTTGAAGGACCGTACCGATGGTGCCGGTGACGGGCAAAGTAGAGAGCTGGATACCGGTGAATGTGGCTCCGATGACTCCGGTGGGAATCGTGATGTATGAAGTAGCGGCCGGCAAGGCGGTTTGTTGAAGTACAGTACCAATGGTGCCGGTGACGGGCAAAGTAGAGAGCTGAATACCGGTGAATATGGCGCCAGCGACTCCAGTGGGAATCGTAATGTACGAGGTGGCGGCTGGGATGGCCGTCTCCAACAAGACGGTTCCGATGCTTCCCGTAACTGGAAGAGTGGTGGCGCGGGTGCCGACGAATGTCTCGCCAGCGATGCCAGTGAGAATTGTCGTGTAGGAAGTTGTCGGAACGTCCGGAATAGCCGTCTCCAGGAGAACAGTTCCAAGAGTACCGATGACAGGCAGGGTGGTTGCCCTCGTACCAGGGAAGCTGGTCCCGGTGACACCAGTGAGAATCGTGGTGTACGAAGTCGTGCCGGGGCTCGGGATAGCCGTCTGAAGGACGACGGTGACGAGTCCGGGGGCCGTGGCGGCGGCAGGCAAGGTAGTTGTCTGGGTTCCTGCGAATGTGCCAAAGATGCCAGTGACAATGGTGACGTAGGAGGTGTTGATCACGATGACCGAAGAGCTTGAAGATGTGCTGCTGACCGATGGGAGAGCAGTCTGGATGAGAACGGTCGCGACGTTGCCCGTGCCGACGACGGGAAGAGTGGTCGTCTGAGATCCAGCAAAGTTGCCCGGGATTCCGGTGAGAAGCGTAGTGTAGGAGATGGCGGGCAGTGCAGTCTGGAGGACGACCGTCGCCAGTCCGTTGGAGCCGACAACAGGCAGAGTGCTGGTCTGGGTTCCGATAAAGGTTCCAGGAATACCTGTGAGGACGGTAGTGTAGGAAACGCTCGGAAGTGCAGTCTGGAGGAGAACAGTGGCCACATTTCCGGTGCCAACGACGGGAAGAGTAGTGGTCTGGGTGCCAACGAAGCTTCCGGCAATGCCTGTGACCAAAGTCGTGTATGACAGACTTGTGGTGGGAATGGGGGTCTGCAGAACAACAGTTCCGAGGCCGTCGATTCCGGTGCCAGGCAAAGTGGTAGTTTGGGTTCCGGTGAAGGTGCCGACGATTCCACTGAAGATTGTGGTGTACGACGTGGCGGCAGGAAGAGCAGTCTGGAGAACAACTGTGCCAAGGCCGTTGGCACCGGTGCCAGGGAGGGTAGAAGTCTGGGTGCCGATGAAGGTGCCCGGGACGCCCGTGATGATCGTGGTGTAGGAAGCCGCAGTTGTCGAGGGGACGGCTGTTTGCAAGACAACAGTGCCGAGACCGTTGGTGCCGACGCCAGGAAGAGTGGTAGTCTGAGTTCCAGTGAAAGTGCCCAAGACACCACTGAAGATGGTCGTGTACGAGGTAATCACGGGAAGGGCGGTCTGGAGGACCACGGTAGCCAAGCCGTCCGGACCAACACCGGGGAGGGTAGTGGTCTGGGTGCCAGTGAAGCTGCCGGGAACGCCAGAGACGATGGTCGTGTACGATTGCACAGCCGAAGTGGGAATGGCAGTCTGTAAGACGACGGTAGCCGTGATGCCGATGCCGATACCGACTCCGATGGACGGAATGGGCAGGGTGCTTGTCTGGGTGCCAGTGAAGCTTCCCAAGATACCCGTGACAATGGTGATGTACGTGATACTGACACTGCTTGTGGGTGACGAGGTGGCAGAAGGAAGGGCGGTCTGCAAGAGAACCGTTCCGACGCTGCCAGAGATGATCGGCAGCGTAGTCGCCTGCGTACCGATGAAAGTTCCCGGAATACCAGTCAACAATGTGACGTAGGAGAGAACCGGGCTTGGAGTTGCGAGAGCAGTCTCCAAGAGAACGGTGCCAACAGTTCCGGTTACGATGGGCAGCGTAGTCGTCTGGGTACCAGTGAAGATACCAGGGATTCCAGTCAAGATTGTAGTGTAAGTGACACCAGCGCTGCTCGAAGTCGGCGTGGGAACGGCAGTTTGGATAATGACGGTGCCAACTCCGTTGGTTCCCGCGGGAAGAGTCGAGGCCAAGGTGCCGATAAAAGTACCCGGGATGCCCGTGACGATGGTGACATACGATGCAGCTTGGACTGTAGGAACGGCAGTTTGGATGATGACGGTGGCAAGACCATCAGAGCCAGCTGGAAGCGTAGTAGTCTGCGCACCCAAGAATGTTCCTGGTACTCCGGAGAGCAAGGTAGTGTATGAGACGGGGCTTGCTGTGGGCAGAGCAGTCTGGACAATGACCGTTGCGAGTCCATCGAGACCGGCAGGCAACGTCGTCGTTTGTGAGCCTAAGAAAGTGCCCGGGATGCCAGTGAGCAACGTAGTGTACGAAGTTGGGCTTCCTGTTGGCAGGGCTGACTGAATGACAACGGTTGCGAGGCCATCGGGGCCAGCAGGAAGTGTTGATGTCTGCAGGCCCAAGAAGGTTCCTGGACGTCCTGTGAACACAGTAGTGTAGGACACAGGGTTGGCTGTTGGAAGAGCAGTTTGGATGACCACAGTCGCGATTCCGTTGGTACCGGCGGGCAAGGTGGAGGTCTGCGCACCGAGGAAAGTTCCTGGAACGCCCGTGAACACCGTGGTGTACGACAGAGGGCTCGATGTTGGCAGAGCTGTCTGGATGAGAACGGTTGCCAGACCGCCAGGTCCAGCGGGAAGGGTAGTCGTCTGGGCTCCCAAAAAGGTGCCGGGAATGCCGCTGAATACCGTGGTGTATGAGAGCGGGCTGGCCGTCGGGAGTGCGGTTTGAATGACCACGGTCGCAATGCCGTCGGTTCCGGCTGGTAGAGTTGTTGTCAAAGGCGCGGTGAAAGTGCCAGGGATGCCAGAGAACAAAGTCGTGTACGACGTTGGGTTGCCAGTGGGCAGGGCGGTCTGGATAACCACGGTGGCGATGCCGTTGGATCCAACAGGCAAGGTGCTCGTTTGAGCGCCGATGAAGGTGCCTGGTACACCAGTGAGAACAGTCGTGTACGATGTCGGGCTTGCAGTCGCAGTTGGAAGCGCCGTTTGAATGAGCACTGTCGCGATGCCGTCAAGTCCAGCGGGCAAAGTGGTTGTGATGGGCGCGATGAATGTGCCAGGAATGCCAGAGAACAGGGTCGTGTAGGACGTCGGCACACCAGTAGGCAGCGCGGTTTGGACGATCACAGTAGCAACGCCGTCAGGCCCAACCGGAAGAGTGCTGGTCTGCGAGCCCAAGAAGGTTCCAGGGATGCCAGTGAGCAGCGTCGTGTACGAGGCGCTTGCTGTCAGGATCGCGCTCTGGACAAGTACAGTGACGAGTCCATCGGGACCGGCGGGAAGTGTGGTTGTCTGAGCTCCGATGAAAGTACCAGGGACGCCCGTAAAGCGAGTCGTGTAGGAAACGCCCGAGGTAGGAAGAGCGCTCTGCACGACAACGGTAGCGAGACCATCGGGGCCCGCGGGCAAGGTCGTGGTTTGAGGTCCCACGAAGGTGCCGGGCACGCCAGAGAAGATGGTGGTGTACGAGACCGGGCTTGCCGTGGGCAGGGCAGTCTGGAGAAGGACGGTTGCGATGCCGTTGGTGCCAACAGGCAAAGTCGTCGCCTGGGTTCCGAGGAATGTGCCCGGAATTCCCGTCAATACTGTAGTGAAAGAGACACCAGCAGACGGGACGGCGCTCTGGACGAGGACAGTTGCCAACCCATCGGGTCCTGCTGGGAGAGTTGATGTCTGAAGACCAGCAAAGGTGCCAATGATGCCCGTGACGATTGTCGTGTACGAGACAGTGACGCTGGGGCTGGACGTGGCCAGAGGAAGGGCAGTCTGGATGAGGACGGTGGCAGATCCATCATTGCCGGCGGGAAGGGTAGTTGTCTGGGTGCCAATAAAGGTTCCAGGAACACCCGTAATGAGAGTAATGTACGAGATACTGCTGGTGATTGTCGGTGTAGCAACAGAGCTGCTCGTCTCCGTGAGGGGAACGTAGACAATGACCGTGTTGGGCAGAGTGGGATCGCCGCTGATGCTGACCAGGATTGTGGTGGTGATTCTTGTTGTTCCGGTGTAAGGGGAGAAGATGGTGGTGAGGTCACGGCTGAGAATCGAGGTGGGAGCAGATGTAACGGATGGCGGCGAGGCGGACGTGCCAGTGATCTCTGGAACCTGCACAATGACGCTTCCGATGCCAGAACCAACAGGCGGGATTGAGAAGGTCGTTGCAACGGAGCCGGTGATGGTGAGGGTCGTGTAAGACGCGAGGAGGGCAGTCGGAGTCTGGATAACCACGGTTCCGAGGCCGGTAGGGTCGGCAGCTGGGATGGTAAAGGTCGACGCAGCCGGGCCACCAGAGGTGATGGTGGTGAACAAGGCTCCCGGACTGACAGTGGGTGTCTGGATGACGACCGTTCCGAGGCCAGTGGGATCAGCTGCTGGAAGCGTGAAAGTGGAAGCGACTGGACCACCAGAAGTGAGAGTCGTGAAGAAGGCTCCGGGGCTGGCGGTGAGAGTCGGTGTCTGGACGACAACCGTGCCAACGCCACCAATGATATTGGGCAGAATGGTGCTGGTCGCAGCAACCGGTCCTCCCGTGGTGATGGTGGTGAAGATGCCAGATAGAATTGACGTGGGCTCGGAGATGATGACCGAGACGATGCCATCCAGTCCGGTGACCGTGGCCGTTGCCGGGAGAGCTCCGGTGCCTGGAACGGTGGTGAAGATGGTTGAGGGAGTGACTCCTGGGGGCAGAGTAGTGCTCGGGAGCTCCACGATGACAGAGACGATTCCACCAAGGCCGCTGGCTGTAGTAGTGGTCGGGAGAGCACCGGTTCCGACAATGGTGGTGAAGACCGTAGTAGGAACCACGGGGCTCTGGCTCGAGGTTGTAGGCTCCAAGAAGATGACGGAGACGATTCCATCCGCTCCCGTGACGGTGGTTGTTGCTGGCAAAGCAGCGGTTCCAGGCAGCGTGGTGAAGACCGTAGTCGGAACAGCTCCCGAGGGAAGAGTGGGAGTCTGAAGAATGACAGAGACAATTCCATCGGGGCCAGTCACGGTGGTGGTGGCAGGCAAGACTCCAGTGCCCGGTTGGGTGGTGAAGACCGTAGAGAGGATCTGTCCAAGAGCCGTTGGGGTCTGTACAATGACGGAAACCACGCCATCAGGGCCGGTGATCGTGGCTGTGGCCAAGAGTGAGCCAGTTCCAGGCGCCGTCGTGAAGACTGTGGAAGGCGTAATGGACGGCAAGCCAGAGGAGACAGTCGGGGTCTGGATAATGACCAGGCCAACTCCGGTGGGATCTGATGGCAGAATGGTCGTCGTTGCCGGAACAAGACCAGAGTAGCCGCTGGTGACGGTCTGGAAAATGGCAGGAAGATCGACGATGACCGTTGCTGGAAGGCCGGTGCCGGCGGGAGCGATGGTGGTGGTACCGGCAGATGGAGCGCCAAAGCGAGTCGAAGTGACCTCGGCAAATACACCGGGGATGTTGACGAGCACCGTGGTCGGATCTCCGGGCTGAGCGGGCGTTTCCGTCTGAATAATAGTGACAGATCCACTGTAGGTGTTGAAGACGGTCGTGATGCCACCGATCGTGGGAGACGCCGTGGCCGTGGCCATGCCAGGGACCTGGATCATGATCGTCTGGGCACCATCGGAGCCTATTGGCATAGTTGAGGTGGCAGTAACACTGAGACCAGGGATCGTCGTCGTGACGAGCACCAACCGACGGGGGAGACCAAGAAGAACAGTGACGACATCGCCGGTCCTTGACGGAACGAGAGTCGAGATCTGGGTGGCGGAAGCCGTGATGAAAGACGTAATGGTCGTGTACGAAGTGCCGTCCGAGATGGTGAGGGAAGGCGTGCTTGAAGGCACAGCGGTCGGGACTTGGATGAAGACAGTGCCTGGCAGACCAGAGGCTGCGGGAGCGAGTGTCTGAAAGAGAGTTGAGGCGCCAGAGTAGCCAGTCGTGACGGTGATGTACGAGATGATGGACTGAGTGACCGAGACGGCGGGCGTAGTCGTAGCCGTAGCAGTGGGAACCTGGACCACAACGGTGGCAAGTCCATCTGCGCCGGTGATAGAGCCGATGAGGGTCTGAAGAAGCGAGCCATCATAGCCACTCGTGACAGTCGTGTACGAAACACCGGGCAACGTAGCCGTGGGCAGAGATGCCGTACCAGTGGGGATATTGACGACCACGGTGATGTAGCCGTCAATGCCGGGAAGAGACCCGATGAGTGTCTGGATGAATGAGCCGCCATAGCCGCTGGTGACTGTGGTGTATGAGATCGGAGCCGAGACGGTCGGGCTAGAGGTAATGGAGGCTGTGGGGACCTGGATCACAACCGTGGCGAGGCCATCAGCGCCAGTGGCGGTACCGATGAGAGTCTGGAGAAGAGATCCAGCGTAGCTGCTTGTGACCGTGGTATATGAAAGGCCAGGAATCGTTGCAGTCGGAGAAGTGAGACCCAGAGTGGGAGTCTGAATGACAACTGTCGCCAAGCCGTCTGCACCAGTCTGCGTTCCAATGAGAGTCTGGAGAAGCGAGCCATCGTAGCCACTTGTCACGGTGGTGTACGAAAGGCCTGGAATAGTGGCAGTCGGCGAGGTAATGGCAATTGTGGGCGTCTGAATGACCACCGTGGCCAATCCATCGGCTCCCGTCTGCGTTCCAACGAGGGTCTGGAGGAGAGATCCAGCGTAGCCGCTGGTGACTGTGGTATAGGAGAGACCCGGAATGGTGGCCGTGGGTGAAGTGATGGCGATAGTGGGAGTCTGAACGACAACAGTAACAAGACCATCGACACCAGTGACTGAGCCGGTTGATGTGGCGATGACAGATCCATCATAACCAATGGTGACCGTGACGAACACGCCAATGCTTCCCGTGATGGTGGGCAATGGAGCGGCGGTTCCGGTCGGCGATAGAACGACCACAGTGACGAGGCCATTCACTCCGGTAAGAACACCCGTCTCGGTTGCGAGAACAGATCCAGGGTAACCGCTGGTGATGGTTGTGTACACAGCTCCAAGGGCGCTAGTGGCACTTGGGACCTGGATGACAACAGTACCGGGGTCTCCGGGGTTGGCCGGAGGAATAGTCGTTGTCAATGGGGCCAGGCCGGTGAAGCCACCACTCGTGACAGTCACGTACGAAATGGCATCCACGCTGATCGAGCTGGTAGGAACCTGGACGATGACGGTTCCAAGATCGCCAGGAGCGCCGGGGGCCACGGTAGTGGTCTGAGGAATGAGCCCGGTGTAGGCACTAGTGACCGTGGTGTAAGAGATGCTGTTCGTGTTGAGCACGTTGCTGGGAACCTGAATAATGACCGTGCCAAGTCCAGAGGGATCCGTCGCCGCAGGAGGAACGGTAGAAGTCAAGGTGACTGAGCCATCATAGGTGCTGAAGAGGGTGGTGAAGAAGCCACCCGGCGAAGCGGTGAGACTGCCAGTGGGGAGACTTGAAGTATCCAAGATGTCGGGAACTTGAACGACAACTGTCCCCAAGCCCGTGGGATTGGCGGCGGGAATAGTGGTTGTCAAAGTGACTGAGCCAGGGTAGGTACTGAACACCGTGGTGAACAACGCACCCAGAGCACTCGTGGCTGTGGGAACCACTCCAGTGTCGGGGATCTGGATAATGACTGTGCCGAGACCCGCAGGATCAGTGGCATCAGGAGGCAGAGTGGTAGCCAAAGTAACGGATCCAGAATAGGTACTGAAGATCGTGGTGAAGGAAGCAGCCAAAGCGCTGGTGGCGGTTGGAATGATTCCAGTATCCGGGATCTGAACGACGACCGTGCCGAGGCCAGCTGGGTCTGTGGCAGCAGGAGGCAGAGTCGTGGTGAGCGTGATGGATCCCGGGTAGTTGCTGAATATGGTGGTGAACGAGGCCGCCAGAGCATCGCCAGATGAACTGGTACCAGTGGCTTGAGAGTCGGGCACTTGGATAATGACGGTTCCGGTTGCAAGACCAGCGGGATCAGTAGCAACAGGAGGAATGGTGGTCGTCAAAGTGACCGATCCCGGGTAGCTGCTCACGATGGTCGTGTAGAAGATGCCAGGCGAAGCCAAGAGATCCGAGGTGGTGAGAGGAACTTGGACAACAACAGTACCAATGCTCCCTCCAGCGGCGGGATCAATTGTGGTGGTGATCGGAGAAGATCCCGAGAAGAAGCTGACAATCGTCGTATAAGTGATACTGACGCTAATAGTCGGGCTGGAAGTGGCCAGGACATTGGGCAACTGAACGATGACGGTGCCGATGTTGGCAGGGTCGCCGCTAGCCGGCGCAAGAGTTGTGGTGAGAGGAATGTCGCCAGTGTACGTGCTGAAGATTGTGGTGTAGCTGATGCCATCAGAGTTGGCAGACGATGTCGGCAACGCGGTGAGGACCGAGCTGGGCTGAAGAATGACAACAGTGCCAGTCTGGCCAGGAGCGCCAGGTGCAATAGTAGAAGTCTGGATGATGGACCCGTCGTATCCACTCAAGATGGTAGTGAAGGGCACGTCTGATGTTGCGGTGGCCTCGGGCTCGAAGAAGATGATGGTGCCAACAGTGTCAGTTCCTGAAGGAGCCTGCGTAGAGAAGGATGGCAACAATCCAGTGTAGGTGCTGGTGACCGTGGTGTAAGAAGAGACACCAGGGATCTGGACGCTCGAGCTGGGAACCAGCAGGATGACGGTGCCGACAGCATCGGTGCCCGCGGGAGCCAGAGTCGAGGTCGCCAACAACGATCCTGCGTAGGTGCTGATGATGGTGGTGTAAGAAACGGTGACGCTGGGCGCAGCGGTGCCCGTTGGCTCCAGAATGACAACTGTTCCGAGTCCATCAGTGCCGACAGCCGGGATGGTGGACGTGGCAATGACGGAACCATCATATCCGCTTGTAATGGTCGTGAAAGAGCCAGCGTTGGAAGTTGTGAGAAGGAGAGCGGGATCCAGGACGATGACGGTCGCGGGGTCTCCAGACACGGCGGGCGGAATCGTTGAGGTCAGAGTCTCGGTTCCAGTGTACGGCCTCGTGATGGTAATCCCCGGAGTGTCGATCGTGATGGGGTTGAGAATGATGATAGTTCCCTCGGTATCCGATCCAGTCGGGAAAATGGTCGTCGCGGATGGGATAGCACCCGAGTACGAGCTCGTAATGGTGGTGAAGCTGATGCCCGCACTGCTCGTGGGTACCAGAATGACAACCGCGCCAACTGTCTCTGTGCCCGTGGGCAAAATGGTCGACGTCGAGGGTACGACGCCGGAGTAGCCGCTGGTGAGCGTGATGAACTGGCCAGGAGAGGCTCCGAGAGCAGAGCTTGGTACCAGGACGACAACGTTCCCAGGCTCACCCGAGGGTCCAGCGGGGAGAGTGGTGGTCAAGGTGACTGAGCCATCGTAGGTGCTGGTCAAGACGTTGGGCAGAGCCGCGGTGGGAGTAGTCAAAGCATCAGTGATGCTCGGGACCAAGATGACGGTGGCACCAGGCTCTCCTGAAGGACCAACCGGAAGTGTGGTGGTGATGGTAACCGATCCATCGTATGTGCTAGTCAGGATGTTCAAGTCTGCCGTAGGCGTGGGAATGGCACCAGTGAGACTTGGCACCAGGACAACAGTCGGGCCAGGCTCGCCTGAAGGTCCAGCGGGCAAAGTGGTTGTGAGGGTTACTGAACCGTCATATGTGCTGGTCAAGAAGCCTCCCAGCGCAGAAGTAGCGCCAGGAACCAAGACGACTGTCGGGCCAGGTTCTCCCGAGGGCCCAGCGGGAAGCGTGGTAGTAAGAGTGATGGATCCGTCATACGTGCTGGTAAAGAGGTTGGGCAATGCCGAAGTCAATCCAGGGACCAGAACGACAGTGGGGCCAGGCTCGCCAGACGGGCCGGCTGGAAGCGTCGTGGTGAGAGTGACAGACCCATCGTAGGTGCTGGTGAACAAGTTCGGGAGGGCAGACGTTGGCAAAGCAGATGTCAAGCCAGGAACCAGGATCACGGTAGGTCCTGGCTCTCCAGATGGGCCAGCAGGCAAGGTAGTGGTGAGAGTAATCGAGCCATCGTATGTGCTGGTGAAGAGGTTGGGAAGTCCGCCAACAGAAACGGTTGGGACCAGAATAATGGTCGCACCAGGCTCACCAGAAGGACCGGCAGGAAGCGTAGTCGTGAGAGTGACCGATCCATCATACGTGCTCGTGAAGAGGTTGGGAGGACCACCGACGGAAATCGTCGGAACAAAGATGATAGTGGCACCGGGCTCGCCAGATGGGCCAGCGGGAAGCGTAGTTGTAAGAGTGACTGAGCCATCATACGTGCTCGTGAACAAGCCACCTCCCACATTGGTGGCGCTTGGAACAAGTACAAGTGTCGGTCCAGCAGGCAGGGTAGTTGTGAGAGTGATAGATCCATCGTAAGTGCTGGTCAAGACATTCGGCAATGCTGGAGAGCCAGGAATACTTGGGACCAGGACCACAGTCGCAGGATCTCCCGAAGGTCCGATGGGCAAAGTGGTAGTCAAGGTGACGGAGCCATCGTAGGTGCTTGTCAGCACGTTGGGAAGGGCTGGAGCCGTGATGCCCGGAACCAAGACGACAGCAGTTGGTTCACCAGAGGGCCCAATCGGCAGCGTCGTTGTAATTGTGACTGAGCCATCGTACGTAGACGTAAGAAGGTTGGGGAGACCAGGCGCGGTGGCGCTTGGGATGGCGCTCGGCACGAGAACCACCTCTGCGGGATCTCCAGACGGGCCAATGGGCAATGTAGTGGTGAGAGTGACGGAACCATCGTACGTAGATGTTAGTACATTGGGAAGGCCAGTCGCAGTTACACCTGGGACGGCGCTTGGGACCAGGATCACCGTTGCCGGGTCACCCGAGGGACCAATTGGCAAAGTAGTGGTAAGCGTGACCGAGCCGTCGTAAGTGCTTGTCAAAATGTTGGGAAGGCCAGCAGTACCAATGTTGCTCGCTCCAGGTACGAGGACCACCTCCGCCGGATCTCCCGAAGGCCCAATAGGCAGGGTAGTTGTAAGGGTAACCGATCCATCGTACGTGCTCGTGAGAACATTGGGCAAGCCAGCGCCAATCGAGGATGGCACCAAAACAACAGTTGCCGGATCACCAGAAGGACCAATGGGCAAAGTAGTGGTAAGCGTCACCGAGCCATCGTAAGTGCTGGTGAGAATGTTGGGGAGACCACCGGCGCCATCGCTCGTCGCGCCAGGCACCAGAATGACCGTAGCCGGATCTCCGGAGGGCCCAATAGGCAAGACGGTAGTGAGAGTGACTGAGCCGGCATAGGTACTGGTAAGCACATTCGGCAGACTGGGGGCGTCCGTGATGGAGGCTCCCGGAACCAGGACGATTGTCGCCGGGTCTCCGGAGGGGCCGGCTGGAAGCACAGTGGTGAGAGTGACTGAGCCGTCATACGTGCTCGTGAGAAGAGTGGGCAGTCCTGGGGCACCGGTGATAGGGGCACTGGGTACCAACACAATCGTCGCCGGGTCGCCGGAAGGACCAGCTGGAAGGACAGTAGTGAGTGTCACAGAACCGCCATACGTGCTTGTGAGAATGTTTGGCAATCCCGGAGCGTCTGTAGGAGTGACGCCGGGAACCAAGACGATCGTAGTTGGGTCGCCAGAGGGACCGATTGGAAGTACGGTCGTGAGAGTGACTGAGCCGGCGTAAGTGCTCGTAAGCACATTAGGCAGGGCTGAGGCGTCCGTGATAGAGGCTCCGGGCACCAGGATGATGGTGGCGGGATCACCAGAGGGACCAACCGGCAAGACAGTAGTCAAGGTGACAGAGCCAGCGTACGTGCTCGTCAAGATATTGGGTGACCCAGGTCCAGCTGTGATAGTAGGGACACTGCTAGGTACCAGAATGACCGTAGCCGGATCACCAGACGGTCCAATGGGTAGGGTAGTCGTGAGGGTGACCGAACCACCATAGGTGCTGGTGAACAGGTTGGGGAGGTTGATGCCGATCGAGAGGTCGATGAGCGGAGGAGTGCTAGGTACCAGAATAACGGTGGCAGGATCTCCAGATGGGCCGACTGGCAGGACTGTTGTAATGGTGGATGGGCCTCCATATGTGCTAGTGAACAGTCCTGGAAGGTTGATTCCAAGAGAAATGTCGATGAGTGGAGGAACGGCGCTGCTGGGTACCAAGATGATGGTGGCAGGATCTCCAGATGGTCCCAGAGGCAAGACCGTTGTGAGAGTGACTGAACCACCATACGTGCTGGTAAGCACATTGGGGAGACCGGGTGCAGGCGTGATGGTAGGAGTAGCACTCGGGACCAAGATGACAGTAGCCGGGTCACCGGAGGGGCCAAGGGGCAAGACGGTAGTAAGAGTAACCGAGCCTCCGTATGTGCTCGTAAGCACGTTGGGAAGACCAGGCGCGGGCGTTGTAGATGGGGTACCACCCGGGACTAAGATGATGGTAGCCGGATCTCCAGACGGGCCAAGAGGCAGAACCGTCGTGAGAGTGACTGAACCATCGTACGTACTCGTAAGCACGTTGGGAAGACCGGGAGCTGCCGTAATAGAAGGAATAGTGCTGGGAACCAATACAACCGTGGCGGGATCATCGGAAGGCCCGACAGGCAGAGTCGTCGTAAGGGTGACTGATCCGTCGTAAGTGCTCGTAAGCACATTAGGTAGACCACCACCGTTGGATCCAGAGCTGGGCACCAATACGACTTCTGCTGGATCTCCAGAGGGCCCAATGGGAAGCGTGGTTGTAAGGGTAACTGAGCCATCATACGTGCTCGTGAAAATGTTGGGAAGACCACCATTGTTCGCGCCAGAACTAGGCACAAGAATGACAGTTGCCGGGTCGCCTGAAGGTCCGATAGGCAGGGTCGTTGTGAGAGTGACTGAGCCTCCGTAGGTACTCGTGAGCACATTGGGGAGGCCAGCGCCATTCGATCCAGAGCTGGGTACCAAAATCACGGTCGCGATGTCACCAGAGGGACCAACGGGTAGCGTGGTGGTCAAAGTGACTGATCCGCCATAGGTGCTGGTCAACACGTTGGGTAGACCAGGCGCTGCAGTCTGACTCGGCACAAGGATAACCGTGACGGGATCTCCAGACGGTCCAACAGGCAAAGCAGTCGTCAACGTGACCGATCCGCCATAAGTGCTCGTCAAGACATTTGGCAGGCCAGGAGCAGGCGTCACACTTGGAACCAAGATGACAGTCGCGATATCTCCAGAAGGCCCAACGGGCAAGGTGGTAGTGAGGGTGACCGAGCCACCGTATGTCGATGTCAAGACATTGGGAAGACCAGGAGCGCCAGTCTGGCTGGGCACGAGGATGACCGTGACAACGTCTCCTGGAGGACCAACAGGCAATGTGGTGGTCAAAGTGACCGAACCTCCGTAGGTAGACGTGAGGATGTTGGGGAGGCCAGGAGCCGCAGTTTGACTGGGCACCAGAACAACAGTGCCAATGGGCAAGGTCGTGGTTAGGGTGACAGATCCATCGTACGTGCTAGTGAAGAGATTGCTTGGGACAGCGGGAGCAGCAGTCTGACTCGGCACCAGAATGACGGTCGCGGGATCTCCAGAAGGTCCGACTGGGAGGGTAGTGGTGAGCGTAACCGAACCGTCATACGTCGAAGTGAACACGTTGGGCAATGACGGAACCCCAGTATTGGTAGGGATGAGGATAATAGTGGCTCCAGGCTCACCAGATGGGCCGACGGGCAAAGTCGATGTCAACGTGACTGAGCCATCATAGACACTGGTCAACACTCCGCCGGGAGCAATGGTAGGTGTGGCAATTGGAGAGCTTGGTACAAAGATGACCGTCGCGCCGGGCTCGCCGGACGGGCCAGTAGGCAGAACAGTGGTGAGGGTAACCGAGCCTCCATACGTCTGAGTAAGGATGTTGGGAAGACCTGCGGCTGCTGTGCTACCTGGTACCAGAATGACAGTAGCAGGATCACCAGATGGGCCGATAGGCAAGGTGGTCGTAAGAGTAACTGATCCGCCATAGGTACTGGTCGAGATGCCCCCAGGAGCATTAGTCGGTGTAGCAATCGGGGAACTTGGCACAAAGATAACAGTCGCACCAGGCTCTCCCGAAGGACCCGTAGGGAGGACAGTTGTCAATGTCACCGATCCACCGTATGTCTGGGTCAGAATGTTGGGTAAACTGGCTGCTCCAGTGCTGCTTGGCACCAATACAACTGTTGCCGGATCGCCAGATGGGCCAACAGGTAGGATAGTTGTCAAAGTGACCGAGCCGCCATATGTACTGGTCAAAACACCACCCACAGATGGAACAATGGGAGCCGTAGTTGTGAGGCCAGGGACGAGAATAACTGTAGCTCCAGGCTCACCTGAGGGGCCCGTAGGCAGCACAGTCGTCAAGGTCACCGAACCGTCGTATGTCTGAGTAAGGATATTAGGAAGGCCAACGGCCCCGGTGCTGCTCGGCACCAAGATGACGGTCGCTGGGTCGCCAGAGGGTCCGATGGGCAAAGTAGTCGTCAAAGTGACTGAACCGCCGTAAGTGCTCGTCAAAACTCCACCAACGGATGGAACAGTTGGTGCTGTAGTTGGCAGGCCGGGAACAAAGATGACCGTCGCGCCAGGCTCTCCTGAAGGTCCCGTGGGAAGAACAGATGTCAAAGTCACAGATCCACCGTAAGTCTGCGTCAGGATATTGGGAAGGCCTGCCGCTGCGGTGCTGGTTGGTATCAGGTATTGCTTGGGACCAAGACCACAGTCGCCGGATCACCAGATGGGCCAACAGGCAAAGTAGTCGTAAGCGTGACCGATCCGTCGTACGTGCTGGTCAGCACATTTCCGAGAGCCTGAGTAGGATCAACGGATGAGGCTCCTGGAACGGAGGGGACAAAGATAACAGTCACACCAGGGTCTCCCGCAGATCCTGTGGGAAGCACAGTGGTCAACGTGACGGAGCCGCCATAGGTCTGGGTCAAGACGTTGGGCAGCGTAGGAGCCGCAGTGATGGTCGGAGTGGCACTAGGAGCACCAGGTACGAAGATGACCGTAGCAGGATCTCCAGACGGGCCAACTGGCAAAACTGAAGTCAAAGTGACTGAGCCTCCGTAGGTGCTCGTGAGGATATTGGGTAGGCCCGCAGCACCAGAGTTGCTGGTGATACCAGGAGTTCCCGGTACAAAGATGACTGTGGCAGGATCGCCAGATGGGCCGACTGGTAGGACTGAAGTCAAAGTCACTGAGCCTCCATAAGTACTTGTCAGAATATTGGGAAGTCCTGCGGCACCAGTGTTACTGGGAACGCCAGTCGCGCTCGGCACAAAGATAACGGTAGCTGGATCACCGGATGGTCCAACAGGGAGGACAGAAGTCAGAGTAACTGAGCCTCCATAGGTGCTGGTCAAGATGTTGGGAAGTCCGGCAGGATCAGTGTTGCTGGGAACGATGGTCACGCCCGGGACAAAGACAATGGTCTGCGGAGGCACGTTCACACCACCGTCAGTAATAACTGAAGTCAGAGTGACTGAGCCTGCATAAGTGCTGGTCTGAATGTTGGGCAGTCCCGGAGCAGCAGTGCTGCTCGGCACAAAGATGATGGTCTGCGCCGGCTCACCCGATGGCCCAGTGGGCAAGACTGAGGTCAGGGTGACTGAACCACCGTATGTGCTGGTCAAGACATTAGGCAGAGCCACTGCACCAGTGGCGCCAGGAGCGCCGGTGTTGCTTGGCACGAAGATGACTGTCTGTCCAGGATCTCCGTTGGTGCCGGTAGGAAAGACAGAGGTCAAGGTAACGGAGCCTCCATACGTGCTAGTCAAGACGTTCGGCAGAGCCGGGCTGGGCGTGGCAGTGGGAGTCGGGATGAGAATGATAGTCGCACCCGGTTCACCGAAAGGCCCAGTAGGCAGTGTGGATGTGAGAGTAACGGAACCACCATAGAAGCTGGTGAACAAACCACCGGCAGTCGGCACCGCAGCAGATGGAGTGGCCGTGTTGCTAGGGAGGAAGATGATGGTGGCACCCGGCTCGCCAGAAGGACCAGCAGGCAGGACCGAAGTCGATGGCACCAGTCCACTGTAAAAGCTGGTGAGAACTCCAGCCAACGCGGTGGTCGCAGAAGTGGGTGCAGCAGTGTTGCTGGGAACGAAGATGACTGTAGCACCGGGCTCTCCAGACGGCCCGACTGGGAGCGTAGAAGTAAGAGTGATGGAGCCTCCGTACGTGCTCGTGTAGAGACCGGCAGCCAAAGCCGTTGTAGCGGCGGTTGGCAGACTGGTGCTGCTCGGGAGGAAGATGACGGTGCCACCCGGCTCGCCAGAGGGACCTGAAGGCAACACGGATGTCGAAGGCACCAAGCCACTGTAGAAGCTGGTAATGACACCACCAGCAGTGGGCGTCGCGGCGCCTGCTCCGCTCGTTGCACTCGGGACGAGAACAATGACCGTTCCGGGATCGTTGGAGTTGACCGGGGCGACAGTGGTAGTCAAAGGGACTGAGCCGGTGTAGGTGGACAGGAATGTTGTGAGTACATTGTTGCCAACGCCAGGAGCAGCGCCACCAGTCGAGCTCGCAACATTGCTTGGGACCAAGACAATCAGAGTGCCTGGGTCTCCAGGGTTTGCAGGTGAAGCTATGGCGGTTGAAATAACAGAGCCACCATACGTCGACGTGACAGTAGTAAGAGGAATGGCGGGCGTGGCTGTGGGAGAAGCCAGCACGTTGCTCGGAACGAGGACGACGAGGGTGCCAGTCGAACCAGTTCCCGATGGGAGCACAGTCTGGAATGAGGTGACCGAGCCTCCATAGGTGGAAGTGAGAGTGGCAAACACTGCACTGGGTGAAGATGTGATAGCTGGAGCACCGGCACTGAGGGTACCTGGGTCGATAGTAGAGCTCGGGACAAGGATGACGAAAGTTCCCTGGGTGTTGGTTCCGGTAGGGAGGATAGTCGAGGTCGATGGCACCAACCCGGTGTAGGTGCTGATGAGAGTCGCAAAGTTGGCACCTGGAGTAGTTCCAGGGGTTCCCGTGGCGCTTGGGAGAAGGACAATGACGGTTCCCAGACTGTCAGTGCCAGCGGGAGCGAGCGTAGTGGTCGATGGAACCGCTCCGGTGTATGTGCTGATGAGTGTCACAAGCGACGCGGGTGCCACAGTCGGAGTTGCAGCTGGCCCTGTGGTTGGAATGTTGATCGCAGGAGTTGAAGTCGCAGGATCCTGTCCAATGGTGGGAGTCTGGATAAGAACAAGACCAACACTGCCGCTGACAGTAGGCAGAATAGTGGTAGTCTGAGTTCCGGTGCCAGAGTATCCAGTCTGAACCGTGATGAATGAGAAGCCAGGAGCCGTAGGTGTAGGGGCAACATTCGTAACCGCGGGTGAAGAAGGAGAGAAGGGAGTCTGGATAATGATGGCTCCAACGGTCTCAGTCCCAGATGGGAATACTGTGGCGGTAGTCGGCACAGCTCCCGTGTAGCCGACGGTGGTAGTGAGGAACGAAAGGCCAGACGTGGGAAGAGGTGTCTGAATAATGACAGTCCCTGGATCTCCAGCGTTCACAGGTGCCAAAGTTGTAGTTGCCGGTGCAGTGCCGAAGAATCCACTTGTCAGAGTAACAAACGATGCTGGAGCAACGGTGACTGAAGGAGCAGCAGCAGCAGAAGTA